AAAAAAAAAAAAAAAATCGAAGGAATGTTTCATCTTGTTTCTATATTTTTGTCCAAATTTAGACGAAAGTTGTTGAGTCATTAGAAAAAAATGTTGCTAAATATTTTTCTGCTTTCCTAAAATTTGATTCTGTAACGTGCTAATGGGTCTGTGCAAATAAAGGGAACTTTCGCGTTTCGATGGAGTCAAAGATCTTTTTTAACAGAATAAGGCCTTTGTCCACACATGCATTCTTCATGAATTATCAATCGTTCCAATGTGATCCAATAATCGATCCATTATATGAGTTTTAATTAACATTAATACCTGCTATCACTTTCAAGCAGTCAGTGTGTTGACAAGACAGCCGATATTTTGAAAAAATAACTTGAAAAGAATCCTGAAAGCCAAGAAAATGTATCATCAAATCTCAAGAAACAACGTATCTAACCTCTAATTTCTGCTCATAAAAGTGCAATCTGGAAAAAATTCATCGATGAAATACATTCAAAATATCTTGAAAATGGTAAATCTTAACTAGAGATTGAAGCAGTAGCAATTAATATAAAGGGATAAACATATTTTGGCCAAATTCGTCGAGGTGCTTGAAACTAACATGATTGATGTATAGATGGGCGTGCATAAACGCGTGTCGCAGGAGGCACACGATTTTTCCCCGATGCTTCTCAACTCGAGTGTCCGACATTACACGGATTCAAGAAGAAAAGAAGAGAAAGAAGCATAAAAGTTAAAAAAAGAAAGAGAAAAAAAAGAGGAAGAAGAAGAAACATCGAGAGGCAATCGCGAGATCGTTCCAGAAAGTTCATCGACCGAGACGCGATCTGCCTGGCTGCGAGAGAGAACAAAAAATTATAAAAAGAGGGAATACAGACAGTTGGAGCAAGAAAGAGGGATAAAGAAGAGGGAAGAGGAAGAGTAGAGAGAAGAGGGGCGAGAGGGACAGGGAAAAGAAGGGGAAAGTATCGTTTTCTGCGTATTTCTTTGAGCAAGTCGTAATAAAGCCTGCAACTTTGGACATAAGATCATCAATTGCAACTTTGGCAATCTTTTTTTTCTCAACATGGTATCACCATCCCTTTAGAAACCTCACGCGATCCGTTCCAATCGTTTCTCCGGCTAATTGTCTTGGATCTGTCTCAAAGAGACTTCTGTCAACAAAAACAAATGCGATATTCACTGTGCCGTTTGATTGAATAATTATCGCGCTATTTTAAAATATAATTTCATGATTTTGAAAAAATTTCAGAAATCTATCCTTAGAAGAAGAATATATATAATAGATTTGTGATACACGAAAGATTTACTAAAAATTATCTAATTCATTATCATAATTTTAATAATAGATGGACGATATATTGCGACAGAAATTTTATTCTTTATATTCAAAATTAAATTAAATTTATCTTCTTATAGTGCGACAGGAACTTCATTTAACGTCTCTACGGAATTATCTTCAAAAATGGTGGATAAAATAACAATCGAGAGATTGTAATTCAAGGAAATATTTTCATATTCTTTCATCGTATCCATTTTCTCGCAATCTCGCAAAGGGATCTTCACTCGAATGATCGTTCTTTCGATTAGCAACGTCGTTTGCCGGCAGCACGCGTACGATGTGTTACAATAATGTATAAACATTGAATCAAAAACTCGTTAAGAGAATCAGCGCGAGGAAGGGATGAGCGCATGTAACGAGTGTATAACTCGAGGCCGTTGGAGGATAATCCGCAGTTTCATCGTTGATTTACGACGCTTGGAATGCCGAGGACGCGTCAGCGGCGTCTTTCCTGTAATATTATCTCTTTACAATGGAAGATCGGAATATTCTCACCAGCATGCTTTTCCGACCGACGATCGTGCGAGAAAAAAATTGTATCATCGAGTTTGAAGAATATGTTCATTAGTAAAAAATCATTTCAGTTTTTAAAATCGTCTACAAGGAATATCGAATATTTTATTTTTCGATTCGCGTGTTGGTTTAATAATTTGTTTAATAATAGAAGATTGAAAAAAATTATTTCGAAAATTTAAAACTTTTTTTTTAGAAAATTGTAATATTAAAAAGTTACAAAAAGATATTTAATTCGAATTTTCAGTTCCGTTTATTTAAAATTTTTAATTTTAAATTTTGCAAAAAGTTTATTTTAGATAATAATTACATTTTATCCTGAAATTAATTTCTAAA